CTGATTTCGACTTTCTTGTGATCTGTCATGTAGTGCTTCGAGCCGTCACCTTAGTTCAGTTGGTGAATTATTACGGTAGGCGTATAAAGTAGACTTCTGGAAACAATACAACTTAACTTAGACTACTTATCATGCAGTACCAGACAAAAAAGAAGAGGCCAAATAAAATCAAGATGTACAATGGAAAGAGGCCGCTTACAGGGAGGACAGCAGATGTACGTATGCGTGTTATACGGAAAAAATATCCACACAGTTTGTCATCGATTGAATTTCAAATATGTGCTGTAACAGTAAAATGGCGAAGAAAGTCAAAAACCTATGAAATTTGAATTTTATCATAAATGGCATTTTGCAGTTATCTATAGTTATCTGTCTTGATAAGTTGGCATTGGCCCCGATTCCTCACTCTCCTGGACTATCAGCCGATCATTGTAAACCTTAATAGACCTGAACTTCACAAAGTGCAGCCAAAAATTCTTTTGGCCAGGCTCCCCGAAGTCCGTGGGCCTCCACGTAGACGTAGCGCCCTGTAATTGGCCGTCGGCAGGGAATGTGCAGTTTTGGCAGAAAGACGGCATCGTTGCGCCTAGTCACTTGTCCGCAGAACTCTCGGCCGTCCGAGCGGGTACCCACACGCTCCTCCCCGGGATTATCATTCTCAACGTAGATTATCAGGCGATCAAGGTTGTTTCGTCGGAGCAAGCTCTCCGTTGTGTCTGGAAGGCTTCGAGCAATTAATCCTTTCTGATCCCCACCTGACAGAAAATAATAGAACACCGAGTTCGAAAGAATGTCCGCATTATGTCAGTTTTATAATCGCAGTTCAGAAGCAATCCTGCTAGGAGATTGTATTGATAGCGGTCATGGTAACTACAACTGACTGGTCTATTTTTTCTATATAGAGACGAATCAGTAGATAGTAAGTATACATAGACATCCTTGTAACGTGCAGTTATAAAACCAATTTGCATACTCTTAGAAGCCTCGAATGTAAAAATGTCCAACAGGTTCAGTTTTAGTAAGTAACTATGAAATCCCTGAGATATCAGAAGTGAGCAAGAGGGCCCCAGAACAGAGTGTGGCGAATATGGTCCCTATGGGAGTAAAACTCCGTTCCATTCACCTGCAGAAATCCAACTGAGAGAGAG